TGGTGGTGTACACTTGGTGGTGTTGACACATGCGCCCAAGGAGAAGTTGTTGGAGTTGAATTGGATCAACTTGGAGAAGAGAGAAAGGTTTTTTGGTGTGCTCCGAACTATATGATGGCTCTTGAATTGGAATTCTACATTGATCCATTGTTCTTTGGATCAAATATGCAAGTCAGATGTGTAGCCCTCTGAATAAGCTTTTCAAAATGTCCAAGATCATCGAAATTGGACTTTAAAGCTAAGAGTTATAGTCGTTTTAGCGATGAAAGGTATGTGACCGGACTCTGTGACCAGACGCGTCCGGTCAATGTTAGTGAGTCCGGTCAAGAGTCCAGTTAGTGTTTTAACATGTCCAGGAGCGACTAGACATACGGAGAGTCCGGTCAGTGATGACCTGACATATCCGGTCATCAAAAGAGCTCTCTGGAACCTCTTTGGAAGTGTCCGAACTCTGGGAAAGTCGAGTCCGGTCATAGGAGAAAGGGGAGTCTGGTCAGTTGTGTAGAGGCGCATTGGTGACCGGACTCGGCCTCGGCGCGTCCGGTCGCTGGACCAAGGCCCGTCCGGTCAGGATTATGCGCGTGCGAGAGCTAGCCGTTAGCGAGCAACGGTCATCTTCGAACAACAAGGCTACGTGGCTGCATATCAGTGACCGAACTCTGGACTGGACTCTGGGGTGAGTCCGGTCGGTGAGTCTGGTCAGTGCGCAGAAATCAGGATGAACGGGGTAACGGCTATTTTAGCCCTTGGAGCTATAAAAGGAGTATGGGGCCAGCCTTGGATGATGCTTGGCACCCTTGGGACTTAGTGTCCATGCTTGGGAAGTGCGAGGAGAGCCTCTAACTCACTTATGCTTGTAAGAGTGCGAATCAATTGCGAGTGAGTGATTCTAGTGCGATTGCATTGAGAGATTGCACTGAGTGGCACTAGGTGATTGAGTTGCAAGCCGGTGGTGTTTGTTACTCTTGGAGGTTGCCACCTCCTAGATGGCTTGGTGGTGGTCTCCGTCGAAGCACGCAAAGAAGATTGTGCGGTGCTCCGGAGAAGTGATTGTGAGGGGGATTGTGCTCACCCCGTGTGAGCCGTGAAGAGCAACTCTAGTATAGCGAGACGCGAAGGGTGACAAGTGGTCCGGCCGGGTCAAGTGCTAGAGCTTGTGGTAAGCACTCCACGTGGGAGAGTGTGACTTGCTGGTCACCACTAGCAAGAGGACCGGCGGCAACCTTGGAGCTTATCTCAATAGGGACTAGCGTGTTGGCAAGCACGTGAACCAAAAGATAAAAATCACCATGTCAACTTATCTTCCCGTTGGTTTGCATCCTCGTGACACAAGCTTGTATTTACCTTTCATATTTTGTGCGTGTGTAGTTGCTCATGTAATTAGTTGACTTGTGTAGTTTGCTAGTTATCTTCTAGCTTGTGTAGCATAGAAGTAACTCCCTTCTGTGACTAATTTGGTTTGAGTAACCTTGTTAATCACATTGCTTAGTTTGTGTAGCTAAGTGATTTGAGCTCTCTAATTTGTCTTGTGTAGCCTTGTTATTGAGTATTGTTAGTGAGCTTAGGAGCTTTGTGCTTTTGCTTACTAGATTGTGTAGGAGCTCCCCCGTTGATTGAAGTACTGGTTGCATAGGTTTATGTAACCTTACTACTAGAATTGATTAAGTGAGCTCTAGCCAGCCCAGCACCTTTGCTGCCTAATTAGGATCTTTATAAGGTGCTTGTGAACTTAGTTAGAGGGGTGTGGTCTTGGATAAACCATTAGTTTTAATTCGCATTTATCTCGCTTAGCCGACGCGTTTAATTTTAGAAAGGATTATTCCCCCCCTCTAGTACGCCATCTCGACCCTACAGACGGCGGTCCCTTTCTTCCTCGACAACGTCCATGGCGCCAACCTAGGCTGCCTAGGCGGCTAGAACCGGCTCACCCTGGCCGGGAGGCATGGCGGCCGGCGGTGGCTGTGGTGGCGGTGGTCGGACCTTGTGCAGGTGCGGGGATGGCGGCAGGGCTCTTTTCTTCTTATCCTCCCCCCTGCCCCTTCTCGACAATGATGATGGCGGCTGCGTGGCCGCCAGCCGGGGCGGCTATGGCGATGGCCGACAACCGTGCCATACCGGCTGCCCGCTCTGGGCCGACTTTGGCGTCGGGCGAGAGGCTACCATGGCGCGGCGGCTAGCCGACCGCCTAACAACGGGCGATCGAGAGACGAGAGGTGGGGCGGGTGGTGCCCATAATGGTGGGGCATGTGCCTCGTGGATGCTGACGGCGTAGGTCGGCGGCAACGGCGGCGGGTGCCTATGCCGGTGCCGGCGGTTGGTGACGACCTCGACGTGTGGCAGTTACACGAGCGGTGGTGGAGTTAGGCCTGGCTCTCCGAGTTGCCCGGACGGAGGGGGTGACGGCTGACGCAGCTGTGTGGCTGCTGCGAGTAGCCGGCGCGTCGATGCCCCTCTAAAGGGGCTCCTGTGGGGTGACGGGACAACGGCGAGGACGGCGCTGGCGGGCATGGGGTTCGGGCTTCTTGGCCTGACGTTCGTGCTAGAGGGTTCCTTGGGCGAAAGCCTTGGTGACGGCGACGCCGGTGGGCGCCGCTTTCCCTTTTAGGGGCGTCGTGTCTTCCCCTCTAGCACTATCATCCAAGGGTGAAAACCTAGTCCTCTGTGGACGTGCGACGGTGGCGTCATCAGCGTCGCTGCATTTCTGAAAGCGTTGCATTTGGATCGTCGTCACGGCTTCGATGTCTCCTTCGGCGATTGCACTTCTTGGCGCCTCGTGGACGCGTGGAGGCGGATTTTGCAATGTGAAGTCGGAGCTACTGCGTCAAGGACGTGGCTCAGCAACGTTGACATGCGGCGAGCCCCCTTTATCGTAGTCTGGGGCTCTGTGGAGGGTCTGCATCTGCTGGGGGCGAGGCGTGGGTTCGTAACCGGAAGTCGGTGCTACTCTTGTTTGAGCTTGGCAACGAAGATTGGTTGTGGCCTCATGCTTCGGACCCATTGGTAGTTGGCTTGTGGGTGGCCTGCCATCGGAAGTCAAAGCTGTTGAGTGCTTTGCTTTCATGCTCGGTAACGATGACCCATGGCATTGTGTTCTGTTTGTGCTCAACCGTGTCGTGTGGGGTGGTTAACCACTCGGTGCTCAGTGGGCATCTTGTTTGGCTAACCTTCTTATACATAAATTCTTTCATCTTAATTGAGCGGTAGAACTCCTGCCATTATTTAAAAAAAAAGAATCCTTTGCTGTTAGAATACTACTTAGGCATGTTTAGCAGAGCTCCAGCAACTCCAGATCCACTCGGATTCACTAGATCCACCGTGGCACCGTGGATCCGAGATTTATGGTACAGTTCTAGCCTCCCCTCTGTGTCAGTACCACCTGGGGCCTGCGCGTCAGCTCTTCGTCTCCTCTTTCTCCCCCTTCATTCGTGCAAATCAGAGCAGAGCCGGGACGGGCGCGCGCGAGGCCGGTGCTCGCGGGGCCGGCCTAGCGCGGCGACGGTGGCAGGGCGGGTAGGAGCTCGCGGCTACGGCCGGCGCTCACGGCTGGGGCTCCGATGGGGGCGCGGCCAGGCTCCGTAGAGTGCGAGCGGGGAAAGCCGTGGAGGCGATGAGGTGGAGCAGCGTCGACGATGCATATGAGCCAGCATGTACGTACGTATAGTTACCAAGCTAGCCATGCATCACACGGGCACACGGACAACCGGGACAAGCTAAAGGTCAGCCCGGCGTCGCGCGGTGGCCTCCAAAACCAACCTCCACCGTGTCCAGACGGCCACCGTCCTCCCCTGTCGTCGTCGTCCCCCGCGGCAGCTTCCAATTGAAATGGTACAGCAAGCTCGCGAGGGCGAGCTCTACTCGTTCGCCACCCCGAACGCCAACCCAGGGCACATCCGCCGCCCCGCCCCGAACGGCAGGAACTCCACGTCCGCGCCACGGAAGTCGACGCTGCTGCCTCGGAACCTCTCCGGCGCGTCCCAGTGTGCAGGGTCCCTGCCGACCGCCCACGTCCGCGTTCACCAGCACCGTGGCGCCCGCGGGGACGTAGAGCCCCAGCACTTGGCACGGCCTGCGGCACTCGCCGGATGCAGGCGGAGGGTCTCCTTGACGACGGGGCTCAGGTAGCGCAGCTCGCTCAGAGATGCTTCGGTTACTGGCTCCTGTGAATGTTGCCCACCGCCTTAAGACGGGCCTTCTTGTGATCAACCTTGCGACAGTAATGGTTTGGCCAAGTGCACATGTTGATTGCTACAGGAACTCTCTTGCTGATGCATCCAGAATTCCAGACCCAGTCGGGCGTGGAGAATCGACTGGAGATTCTTTGTGATGATGCCCCAGAGTAGATGGGACAACTACCATTTTTTGAAAAGAAACTTTTCTTATCTTTCTTGTTCAGCTCTGCCAAGGAAGTCTACCCTCGGGCAAATTATCTTCATCTAACAAACATCTATTGTCCATCTTCAGATCAAAAAGATGCCTCTTGTTTTGATGATCGGATATTGGTTGGGAAGAGGCCTAGCTGATCGAAACAGAGGACAAAATTTGAGTGAAAGGATGTTCAATGAATTGATCCAACTTCTTCAAAACTAACGAACAGATCTTATCATGCATTTAATAGACTGAGCCTGCAGAATCGCTCTTTTTCCAAAACAGAGTCGGGTGACATTTTTTTCAATTGGCAAAAGATGGTTCAAAAAGTTTTAGTATATTATTTATACGATTTAAAGATGTACAAGCAGCACGATAGCTCATCTCATGTTGAAGACCACTGTAACACAAGCGACCACTGTAACACAAGCGGAGGGCAGATTTCATCACAAGCTGGCTGGGCTCAATGTCTCAGCTAGTCAGCTCAGGCGTTCAATACACACAAAAAACAAGACATCAATATCTTAGGTGCATACCTAGGTTCTTCATCATAATTCAAAATCGAGACATTTAAAATAGGTAGCTACTACAGCAAACTCCTTTTCTCGACACTTGAACAATTTTAACTAAGACATTTAAGCTTCCACAGTCTCGGTAGGAGGCTCGATCAAAAGACCCTTTGTCGGCTTAGCCAAAAGGTCGGTGAACTCCTGGAACGGGGTCTTGATATACTTAGTCTCAGTCCAGAACTCAGGAGTAAGGAAGCCATAGGTCTTCATCAGACAATCAAAGGTCGCCTGCAATTCACAAAAATGTGAGCGTGATAATAAGCTAGTGAGTAATGAAAATAGACAGTCTACATCCATACATTTACTTAAGCTATACTCAGATAGGGATCAAGTGATTAGCTATACCAGGACATTTAGGGATCAATTGATATGCTATTCCACCTCAAAGATAGATATAAAAGAAACATGGAATCACAAACTTCATGGAACAAATAATTGTAAGCAACCAAGAGTTCATTGGAACGGTTAGGGTAGCTTCAAATCATGCAAAGCAACATTTAGCTTACACACTGAAATTATCTTCAATGACCAAAAAACGAGCATCAAAACATGAATGGAGTCACAAAATAAGCAACGGCTGGAAAAGGTACAAAATTTGTGTACAAATATAACAGGGCATGATTTGCATTGTGCAGACATGGAAGGAATGAGTGCATAATTCAATATAAATTACAGATTGCACAGAACAAGAAATGCACACAAGAAACACAACTCTGTATCAGTCATTTACTGGTTCCAACACCATCTGTAGTAAGTAGTGTTATGGTAAGCAACAAATAACAACTGCAAGAGTGCAGCACTGGGCAGAGCCAGCCCTGCTCCATGCTTTCACTGGACAGCAATTATTTTCTGTGATTTCCATTACAAATTGATGTTCATATGTGAAGGTGAGGCATGGTGTAGTAGAGATGCAATAAATGGAACTTTGTGCTGAATCTGCCACTGTGCAACAGTGACCCAATAGCAATGCCACCTTATTGCGAATTCTTTGTAACAAACCATTTCAAATCAACAGTTCAAATTTCCGAGTAACTAGAACAGAAGACTAATCAGCCTGTTCGGGAGGCCGTATCGTATCGTGGATTATTTACTGCTGGCTGGTTTGGTGTGGGAGAAAAACATTGTTCCTGACTGGAAATTTACGATCGTTTACGAGCAAGCGAACAGGCTCAATATAGGTGGATAGCTACACTAGGTAACTTGAGAGTTAGAAATCTGAATATACCAAGGGTACAAATCTAGAGCATAAATGGACACTAAAAATCGACCACAAGATGCGCAGATTACATAACTGCCGACGCATAGTATATAGAGCAACAAAGCCAGCTATAAGTAAACAATACAGAATTAGACAAAGATCTAAACCGGGGTATACCTTGACGAAGTTACCAAGTGTCTTGGTGGAGCCACGGGACGAGGTGAAGACGTCCTCAATGCCAGCGAACTGGAGGACCTTCTTGGGCACACGGGCGGCGACGATCCCGGACCCCCTAGGCGCCGGCACCATGCGCACGGTGACGGACCCACACTTGCCGGTGACCTTGCAGGGCACGGTGTGCGGCTGCCCGATCTTGTTCCCCCAGTACCCCCTCCTGACGGGCACGACCGAGAGCTTGGCGAGGATGATGGCGCCGCGGATGGCGGTGGCGACCTCCTTGGCGCACTTAACGCCGAGCCCGACGTGTCCGTCGTTGTCGCCGACGACGACGAAGGCCTTGAAGCGCGTGCGCTGCCCGGCGCGGGTCTGCTTCTGGACGGGCGTGATCTTCATCACCTCGTCCTTGAGCCCCGGGACGAGCTGCTCCACGATCTGGTGCTCCTTGACGGGGAGCGAGTGCAGGTAGATCTCCTCGATCTTGTTGATCCTGCCCTCCTTCACGAGCCGGCCGAGCTTGGTGACGGGCACCCACTTCTCCTCCTCCTGCTGGCGGCCGCCGCGCCGGCCGCCGCGGCGCCCGCCACGGTCGCCGCGCCCGCCGCGCCCGAACCCGCGGCCGAAACCGCCTCGGTCGCCGCCGCGCTGGCCGCCACGCTCGCCTCCGCGGTCCGCCATGGTTGGGTGGGTTGGGGGGGAAAGGGGTCTGTCGCCGGCGTGGCGCGCTGGGAGCGGTGTGCTGGGCAGCGGCTGCGGCGGCGGCGCGAAGGGTTTGGGAGGGCGGAGGGGTGGAAGCTGGCGGCAGCTTATATACACCGGGGTAGTGGATTAGGGTTTGGGGAATGAGAAGTTGGGCTGGGCCGTGATTGTAGTAAGCCGCGCAGTCCGGTGGGCCAAGAATGGATGGGCTCGGGCCCAGAGTGCATTGGATATGCGCAGTGGAGTGGACCTCTTTGAATGGATGAACAGTGTGGGCCAGATTAGTAAAGGCACAGATTATGGGCTGTTGGCATTTCGGTTACACGTGGACTCATTTGCCGAAGTGCACTGCCTGCGAGGTTGAATGGACCCGTGAGAGTATATATTGTGGGCCACAAGTGGGACGAGTAGTTAACTTGGCCCCTAATTATGGGTCGCGGGCCTAAGGGAGGCGTTGAGTGGAACCCAATGCGTCTCGGGTCAGGTGTGGTCGTTCAGTGCTTTCCCTTTTCACAACTGTTCAAGCAGTAACATAGCTTTCCAGAAGCAACTGCTTTACACATCAGAAGACCATTTTTTTCGCGACCATGCCGAAGCACGTTTTTCATTAAGCAGAAATAGAGTTTATTTAACAATATAAAGCTTGGATGGTAATTAGTGATTATAGAGCCAAACACGGTTGTGATTACAGAATAACTACTTAGCGACCGTAACCAGGAACAAACATGGCGACAAACACCAAAGCAGGCCCTGAACTAAGTAGCTAAAGAGCGTCTTGCTCCAAGCCAGTGAAATCCAACGCCATGGACGTCAGAAGACCATCTATTGCTATTCTGAAGTTTGGCATCTGAATAAAAAGTGAAACCGTAGGCTGTCCGAATGCCATCCGGTTGCATTGGTCGATGATGGCATGCAGGCTGAGCTGATCATGCCATATCTTTGTGGATAAAATGGGAGCAAATCACGCTACCATTTCTCTGTCATGTGAGTGATTGTGACTGGTACGAGAGAGACCGAAGGAAAGCTCGTAACCGAATTGCCCTGTTTATCCAAGCTTTTGCTTTCCTCGGGGAAACTGTCGAGTGTGGGCTGCCTGCCTGCCTGCCTGCCTGCCTGCTTCCTGAAAAAAAGTTGCAGGGGCGACCTGACGAAAGCTACTCCTACCTGAATGGCTGGATTTGTTGCTGTTCCGCGCAACGCATGGTTTCTGAGTATAGAAGGCAATGTGCAACTAACCGTGCAAGTGATCATCAATCATAGTATGCTAGAATGAGACTGAATTAAAAAAACATAAATCTTAGTCAATTCGGTTTCATCATCTATTTCTTTTTCTTCGAAAGCGGCCTCTTCGGATAAAAGGAAACTTTGAGCTAATTATAACAGAAATGGGCCAAACTCAAAAACTTGAAAAATACTCACCCCAATCATTCAGCTACCCAAGAAAAGGTTTGGGCTAAGCACCCAAGGTTTGTCAGGAGTCAAGAAACACCTAAGCAGTGCAAATGTCCTTGTGTTAGCATACAAGGATACGGTAGTTCATAACATTTTATTTGTCAATTTTAGTATGGGTATTCCTAGCGCACATTTTATTTGTCAATTTTAGTATGGGTATTCCTAGTGCCTGGACGTCCGGACACGGCGTCCATCCAGACGTAGGTCCCATGTGCGTCCGACGAACACAGCTCCCTTTACCCCGCTCCCATCCTGCTCCGGAGGTAGCGTCCGTCCATCCCGGAGCTCCCACGCTTGCGCCTCGACGGACGCAGCTCCCTCAGCAACGTCCCATCACGCTCCCCATCCCGACAGATCCGCGGCGGCATCCCGTCCCCGCCGCTCCTGTGTTCGCGGCCTTCATCTTCACCACACCACACCGCTCCTGTGATGATGATGAAGTGCTCAACTTGGAAAAGAAGAAAGAGAAAAATAAAACCCTATGGAGATTAAGGCAAAGGTATAAATAGGGTTTTTGTTTCGGTGATCAACACATTACAGAGAGTGTGATCACATTTAGAATAGATGGCTGTACTATTAAGAGGGGTTCTTAACTAGACAATTCGGTCATCTAGTGCCACTAGGTGTTGGACTTCATGCATTGCATTTAGGCCTACTACACTTCAGAGAGCAAGCGAAAATATTTATTGAAAATGTTTTGAGAAATGCTAACTTGGCTTTAACATGTTTTGGGAAAACATTTTGAGGGTTAACAACGCTTGCAAAGGAGTGTTAGACTGCGTGTGGATCGAATCGAGAATCGAAAACGTAGCTAACAGAGGTGTTTGCCTCGGGTTGGTCACCGCCCTGGGTGCGGCGGTGCACCGCCTGACCTGTCCGGTGACCGGCTAACCGTGGCCGAGAGCAGCAGCTTCGGGGTGGTCACCGCCCCTACCGGTGTACACCACCACTGGAACAGCAGTGCACCGCCTTAGGGCGTCCGGTGCCTCCTTCACTTTTCGGCAGGGAGTAGAGGCAACCGAGGGGGGCACCGCCATGGTGACGGCAGTGCACCGCCCTATTTTTCCAGAGAGGGCCGGTTTCAGGAACTTGGCTGGGATGGTCACCGCCACCCCTAGGGCGGTGCCACCGTCATGCCATGTCCGGTGACCAATGGCTAGTTGGGAAGTGACCGTTGGGGCACCGCCACCTAGGGGTGTGTGCCACCACTGTGTGTCAGTGCCCCATGTGAGACAGCAGCTCAAGGGATACAATGGCTCTATTTGCTTGTGTGGCTATGAATAGAGGGTGTGGCTTGCCTTGGCCACTCCCTTGGCACCTCTTACACTTATGCACACCCTTTGGAAGCTGAGCAACACACTCTACTCACTTGTTCACTTGAGTGAGATTGGAGAGCCTCTAGTGCATTACATTGAGTTTCATCATCTTGTGGCACTAGTTGGGTGATTTGGGCTAGTTGTGAGCTTGTTACTCTTGATATTTGCTGACACCTAGAAGGTCCGATGGTTGGAGGATCGTTGAGCGGAGTTGGTGATTGTCTCCGGCCTCGATCGGTTGCTTGTGAGGGGTCTTGTGCCTTCCCCGACGGAGCACCAAAGGCAACTCTAGTAAATTGCTCGTGCCATTGAGCTACCTCACTTGTGGGTAGGTTCTTGTGGTGTTCAATTATGTGGATGAGGTTCGTGCAACACCTCTTAGCCGTCCGAACCACTAAGTGTTGGTTGACACAACAGGGACTAGCGTCTTTGGCAAGCACGTGAACCTCGGGATAAAAACCTTGTGTCTCTTGAGTGATTGGATTTCTCCTGGTGATTGGTTGCCTCCACATTGTGATTGGTTCATTCCTCAACGCGGTGGTATAATCACCCTACTCACTCCTTTACATTCCTTGTAAACTAGTTGTCAAGCTCTTTAGTGTAGTTAGTCTTTGAGAGCTTGTTTGTTTGGTTAGTGTGGCTCTTTAGTTAGTCTTTGAGAGCACACTAGCTTAGTAAGTAGCGACCTAGAGCTTGTTGTGTGTACTAATGATCATAGCAACTAGAATTATTGGGACAGATGGCTTGCAACCCTTATAGAGCTAGAGCAAAATTGCATTACGCCGTTTGTTGTACTAATCAATTGCTCTAGTGTCTTGTAGAGTTTTTAAATAGGCTATTCACCCCTCCTCTCTAGCCATATTAGGACCTTTCAAGTGGTATCGGAGCCGTGGTCATCGTTTGATCGAAGGCTTAGCAACCTCAGTATCAAAAGATGGCTCAAGTAGTGTTCAACCATGTGAGGGGCAAACTACCGTTCTTTGATGGCACATGCTATGATTATTGGAAGAGAAAAATGAAGATATATCTTGGTTCAATCAATGATCAAGTGTGGGATGTGACCGAGAGTGACTATATGATTCTCTATCCCACCAATCTCACCAACCAAGACAAGGCCAACAAGCAATGCAATACAATGGCTCTCAATACCATCTACAATGCCATTGATTCCCATGTGTTTGAGCAAATCAAGAATTGTGAGAAAGCTAGTGAGGTGTGGAAGAGATTGGAAGAGACCTATGAGGGCACCCCGACGGTGAAGAGTGCTAAGTTGTATATTCTCAAGGATAAGTTGACATGCTTCAAGATGAAGGATGATGAGAGCATTCAGGAGATGTTTCATCGATTGCAAGTGATTGTTAATGATTTGAAGGCTTTGGGTGAGAAGATCAATGATGAAGATGTCTCTCACCGGTTCTTGATGTGCTTACCTCTAATCAAGTACTAGGTGATGTCATGACACAAGAGATATACCGTGTGAAAAGAGAGGGGGTTGACAAGGATGATGATAAGGACATGAGCTCCATGCATATGACCATGCTTGGAGATAGAGGATGAGGAGATCAACGAGGGTGTCCTAACCGAGAAGGAGGCCCGAAGCTCATCCGGTTCGAGTCACCAAGGTGGAGGCCCAAATCAAGTTCAAGCTCATCTCGGGTTCCAGGACCAGTCTGTCATAAAACTAGTCACACGGGCGTGACCGTGCTCTATTTTCTACGATCCACATATGGATGGAAAACTAATTAGATAAGGAAGTCAATGCAAGTAGTCTCATATCAAAAGCCCTTCGGAATCAACGGAAATCGTCGAAACAAGTCAGTGTCCAGAATCTGTCAGGGTGCTGCGACACCGTCTTTTGGTCCGTTGGACCGTGTATCGTGTTTGGGCCCATTAGGGGTGCGTCCAGGGGGGTGACATTCGGGGCTCTATAATTGGCAGCCGTCGCTCTTCTTAGGGTTTGGGTTTTGTTTAGTTCTTGATTTTCTTATGAAATAGACGTTGTTTTGCTGCAACTGTGCCGCCAAGGCTGCTTGCTGTGAACCAGGGCCCCGATTCTTGATCTTGTTCGCCTGTGGCGATTAGTCCTTTCGAATAAAAACTTGAACTCCTTCTTGTTACTATAAGCCTCATATTTATTTGCAATTTTAGATTGCGTTCATTCCGTTCTTGCTTGTGTTCTCGATTCGCTTGCAGGAAAGCCTTCTCGGCGAG